TTTTTTTCACATTTCATTTTATTACATTTTATTACATTTTTTTTCATTTTTTTGTATTTCCTTTATTTAATTTCTTTTTTTATTTTCATATTTAATCTTTTTTTTTTCATTCCCGTTTTTATGTTTTCTATATGAATGATCAAAGCTGGAAACCATGCTTTGAGAAGATATTAACTTTTGGAAACAAAGCTGCAAGAAAAATAATACTTTTTTGTGCCATATTACTTAAGTGTACACAAATTCTTACTTTTTTTACCAATGGAATTAATGGTTTTAAGACCAACTGATAACAATCTAGACCAAACGAGAGCTTTAATTAGAGTAAGGCAAACAAACATACAGATTTTTCATTATTTTGAGTGCTCTGAAAATTGTGTCAGGAAGTGGAGGCATCGATTTCGAGGTGAAAAGGGAAGTAGGCATTCCTGCACATAATCTGCGTCATTTCAATCGTCAGCCATGGAAAATGCCTCATGCCAATTTGGAGCAAATCGTTGGTATCATTCAGGATAATCCATTCACTGCTGTTTGCTACTTATCCGCAGAAATGGAGCTGGATGTCCATTAAGAAACCATCAGAAAGTCTTTGGTGAAAAGAACAGAGTTTAGGTTTCGGAAACCTGCAGTAAAACCTGCCTTCAATCTTATTCAATGTAACTTGTATCTAAATTACGCTATGCAATTGCAAAACAAGACAGTTAAGCAGTGGCAAAAGACTGTCTTGTTAGATGAAAAAGTGTTTTCTTCCTTGAAGTATGGTAATTTGCACGAAATTATCTTCCACATTTATTTCTAAAATTTTGAAATTCTTATAAAAATGATGATTATTATTAAAAAAATGTAGGTAGGCTTGGACTTTGGAGACTTCCATATACACGTTATGCTACTGAGAATGTGATAACCCATTGCAAACAGCGATCGACACATGCAAAGTACCTGAGGATGGGTATCAGAAGATGGTCCAGGCGACCTGGTAATTATAAACAGAAAACTGAATGCTCAGTACTACATTCATCTTTTGGACCAATATGTATTGTACTTCCCAGTATTAACGATAGATATCAAAATGAAGAGAAAGTTTACTTTGCCCAGGACAATAGTCCTGTGCACACGGCCCATGTTGTTCACGAGCGGTGCACCCAACATCTGAACCTTGTGAGACTTCCTCACCCATCTAATAGTTAGGGGGCCAGGTAGGGTCCCGTGACCTTTTGAGTTAGGACGGACCCACCGAAGTTTTTTTTATGTACTTTTGCCTGCTGAACACGATTCTCGATGATGGGTCACTGTCCGAGTGGTCAATTTTTTGTTATTAACAAATTTAATAAACAAATTCAAAAATTGTACAATTTCAGTAAACAAAAAATTTATTCTGATTTTTCAGTAAATTTCGAACAAAAAATCAATTGGGATGTATATACCTAAACCCCACAGATCTGTAGTAAAAAATTCCTCAAGTTTGAAAAAACGATATTTTTGCGATTTTCGACCACGTGTTCCTCAGCTGTGGGTGCATTATTTTTAACCTTCGTGAGCTCAAATTTTACCTTAAAGCGTGTACTTTTGAATAAAAAAAGATTTATAAACGTCAGTTGCTTAACAACTGCGGTATTGCTGATCTGCGAATTGTCATTCTCGTAGCCTACTGAATATCTATATACAATTTGCGCATATAACATGTAGACCCAATCCGTAGACAACTAGGATGTACAACGACCATTCGCAGATCAACAATACCGCAGTTGTTAAGCAACTGACGTTTATAAATCTTTTTTTATTCAAAAGTACACGCTTTTAGGTAAAATTTGAGCTCACGAAGGTTAAAAATAATGCACCCACAGCTGNATCGCAGTTGCGTTATTTTTGTAGCCTACTATATATCTATATACAATCTGCGCATATAACATGTAGTCCCAGTCCGTAAACAACTAGTTGAGGAACTGACGTTTATAAATTTTTTTCTATTTAAAAGTACATGCTTCAAGGTAAAATTCAAGCTCACGAAAGTTACAAGTAATATATGCACCCACAGCTGGGGAACATGTGGTCAAAAATCGCAAAAATTTCCTTTTTTCAAACTTGAGGAATTTTTTACTAAAAATCTGTGGAGTTTAGGTATATACATCCCGATTAATTTTTTGTTCGAAATTTTCTAAGAAATCAGTGTAAATTGTATGTTTACTGAAATTGTAAAAATTTTTTACTTGTTTATAAAATTTGTTAATAACAAAAAATTGCCCACTCGGACAGTATTCCACCATAAAAAATCGTGTTCAGCAGGCAACAGTAGGTACATTAAAAAAACTTTAGTTGGTCCGTCCTAACTCAAAAGGTCACGGGACCCTACCTGGCCCCCTAACTATAAGTCACTGGATCTCAATATAATTGAACAAGTCTGGTGAACAATGGTCAAAGAGTGACACCCAGCAATAGCTGTGAGCAATCGTCAACTAATTGAAATTATTACCAACTCCTGGATTTAAGGAAACTATAGAAAATCTATAAAAACTCACAATTCTGTCCTCCACTTTAACGAAAAAAAATTTTTTTTAACACACCCTTAAAACCGGGCTCATTTTACACCTAATGTCATGTACTACAAGGAAAAAATTTTGAATACGGGTTTCAGTGAGAGTGACAACCTTTTTCCACGATTTCGATAATAAAAGTATGTATGTATATAAATATTGTAAAAACATTTATAATTTTAACATGTAAATCGAGAAAAAAGGGTGTCACTCTCACTGAAACCGTATTCAAAATTTTTTTTATAGTACATGCCATTACAAGTAAAATAAGTCCGGTATAAGGGTGTGCCTAAAAAAATTTTTTTTATTAAAATAAGGGACAAAAACGCAATATTTTTTGTAGATTTCCTCATGTACACAAACTTATTTTTTGGACCTTACAACTTCATTTCTCAAGATATATAACAATTTATCAACATACATGAACGTACACCAATAGAAACGTACGTGGTGACACAAACACAATTTTTTTAATTTGTGAAGTGAACACCATTCTTTGTGGAAAATGCTATTATCTTTCAAAAAACATGCCTATGAGACCTACTGACTAGCTGCTACTATGCAGCTATCAGCCGTCAAAAAAGTGTTAAGTTTTATTATCGACAGTAGAGAAGTAATAGAAGTACTTTTTTTATCCCGCCTACACTATATTTTTACCTATAATGAAAACGGTGTACTTATATTTAAAAAATATTTACTAACTTTTCAAGCAACTATTTTTAACAGTTTTTCTAATCTTTTTTGAGTTGTGTGTAATTCGAGTTTTACTTTTTTTAAATTATATTATGTACACAAAAGAAAGTTTTTTTCCTTTTTGAAAAATTTTAACGAATGCATCACAGGGGTGCTTTACATTTGTAGCTCCAATTTCTTTTCCAATCAGAACTTGATAGTTTAAAACCAAGGATATTGCACGGGAGGGAAATATTTTATCATCCTTTGACAATATAATTTGAAAAAAACTAAAATCGTTTTTTTACATCTTCACACAGTCGAGAAAATATGTAAATATAAAAAAAAAACTTTCTTAAATTTTGCTTAAAAGTGAAAGATGTGCACACTTGGTGTCAACAAAAAAGTTGTAAATATATATAAAGAAAGTACATTTTTATTTATTTTTCAAGAACCGTTTTTGCACAAATTAATAAAACCATTAAGGAATATAAAAATATCAGTTTTTTTCTATATCTTTTAAATTCTTATGAAAGATGTTGTGTAGTAGAAAAAGTTTTAAATCTCATTGAAAAACAAATTATTTGTGTTGTGATATTTTACTCGAATTATAATCCTGATGGTTTGGAAAACAATGAACATTTTAAAATAATACAAACATTGATTTTTGGCTATTGTACTGATTTATAAAGACTTGTATCATTCAACAAATATTGAAGAGAATCCTCAACACGAAAAAATTAGATCCTTAGCTACAAATTATGTTTTAGATTTATGTGTTCTACATTGTTTTAACACTCATTTATACCTAAAATGTGATCTTTATTGTCCAAACGATAATTTTAAAAATTCATACGAATATGGTTATACTTATGCTCGAGGAAGAAATTTATTAGTCGTGTCTTAGATGCAAAAATTCAGTTTTTTTGCATAATTCTAACCGGTTTTTTAGATTAGCTCAGTCACTGAATAACCGAAAATGAATAACTATTTTCTTGTAATATTTTAAGCTACATGGGCATTTTTTTTCAATTGATTTTTTTTTTTCATTACAGTTATTGAAAATTTTTTTAGAAGTAAATTGGACAACTCCACCGGTCTCTATTTTTCTTTTTACGCAGACGTATAAAAAATATAGGTACCCCAGGCGCCGCGTTGGTCGGACCGGGCAATAACAACAACGCCAGCGCGAGCAGCGTGTTCACCTCGACGACTGGCGACGACTGGTGTCAGTGGCTGGTAGCAGCGGTGGCGTCGGCGGGGAAGGCCAGCGCGGTACAGTGGTGGCGGCTAGGGCGCGCTCAGTTTGTACTTTACGGCTCGACGCGCCGTATCGCCCCGATAATCCTCCGTGCTCTTCGGTCTTACCAATCCTTGGTCTCATATTTAGTATATAAATACACTGACTAAAGCCGGCTCTCCTCCGCGCCACGAGTCGTGCTCCCGCTGTGGGCTGCTCTTTGTTGTAGCCGTCGTTGTCGTTCTTGTTCGGTGCGTGCCGCTCGACAAACCGATCTATCGGTGTGCCGGTTGTTTGCTAAAGTTGTGAGGTGATTGGTGGTGTGGTGTCCGTTGCTGGACCGCAGTATAGTTCATTTGGTTGAAGATACATTTAAGGAACCATGAGGCTGGACATTCGTTGGCTCGTCGTCGGGCTCGCGCTGCTGTGCTTGGCCGAAGGTAAGCAATACCCGCGAATATACTCCCTCAGACGTGACCCAAGGGGTACGTGAGATTGAACGATCGGCCCTTGGGGACAGATTTATTTGCCGATTCGGCTGGAATGGATAGTTGATGCAGCCTTTCGGGACGTCAGTCACTTGACACTTCGATACAATGAACTTTTGTGACATTTGGTCAAGTTGTGTCCTTTGGAATTTGCAAAAATTATAAAACTGCTGTAGCCGTAGTAAAGCGAACCTATGTATATACCCCCAGATTTAGTATTTCTATGAATCTTTAAGACACCTACATCGGTAGCGAGAATCCTTTGATGATTAGAGATCAAAATCTGTTAATTACAGCCAAGTGCAGAACCTTTTCGGGTCTTTTTACTTGATTGAAACAGCTGTTTTGTGTACTTACTTCATTATTTGTCTTGCGACTTACGTTATTGTCGCCTCAGCAAAAAATTTCATACGACACGGTGACCTTTATACTGTTGAAAAGTTCAGTTTTTAATCGTTTAAGAACCTTCTTAGAGGTATTTATAAATTACTCTAACGATATCCCACTGCAGTAACTATGAAAATGAACGGATGTATGAGTTATAAGATTAGCCGAATAACTTTGAACAAAACATCAAATACTAAATTCAGCACGTTTGACCAGGAATCGAGTAAAATCTTTGCTTTTAGGCTCAACTGCTCGAAAAGTTTGCCTTGTACTTGATTTTCCGGAACAAAAGTGTAGTATCATTTAGGTCATCGATTTTTGGTGTTAAACAAATTTTAATACTACAATAAACGCGGTCCTAACATATTGTACGTTTAATCATCTCCACATGTACGTAACTGTGTTTTGAGACTAAGTTGAGTCATTGGTACCTGATTGACACCAATCTTGGTTAATTTGGTTTTTGTAGAAAAACGTGAACGTTTTTATTGGGTGGGGTTTTATTATAAGTCTACCCGTTCTTAGTACTTTTATTACAGGGTTCAGAGGTTAAAAGTAAGTTTATCCGTGATTACTTTACAAATTGGCTAATTACACTTATGTTTTTCCTCAGAAAATTGAAGATTAGTGTGAGATAGTACATAACTTTTTTGTACTATACGCTTTTTTCTCGGAAAAGTCAATAATTTGTTGCTGGTCTTGAGTAAAAATAAAACAGGTGAAAAATCGGAAAAATCGTACTTTTTTCCAAAACAGTGATAATTGACAATCTACGAGCGCCGAAATGTTAAAAGCGAGAGTTATAAAAATTTACAGCATACACCTCTTTGTCACGTACATAAATAGTATATTACGCACCTACTGAGCGAGGTTAAGAATGAAAGGATATTCGTCTTGTTCTTACTTTCGGCGCAGTATGATGAAAAAACGTTTGATAGCATCTAAATTTTTTACGACGTGTAATGATACTTATTTGCTCTGGTGACAAATGTATCAGTCATATGCAACAGCATAGCCATTTTGATAAATAAGGGCACTTATTTAATAATAATCAAACCGGTATAGCTATTCTGCTCATAAAAAGCCTTGTACTTGAAAAATGTTTGAATCGTTGTATACACACCCAATAAATGTAACAAATATTTTATATTTTTACCACCGTCAAATAAATAAAAAAATATTCGACCTTAAAATATAAGAAGCAATGACGTAAATGTAGTCTCGCTTTTATGAGGGTAGTCCAAGCGAAGAAAATACGACTATAGCGAGGAAGAGCGATCAGTCGAGGTGTTAGAAGCGCCGATGAAAAGGTTCGATAAGAAGGTATTAATTTGACGACGGAAAAAACGACATGGGAGAAAAAAAACGCCTGACATATCGATAATCTTGTCCCTTCATACTTATTGCGTATACTTGTAAGTTGTTGCGTTTCAAAATAATTGTACGTGGCTATACACGTTAAGAAGTATCCCTCGTTAAGATCCACGCAAGCTGTTTTTATTTATTTTTAATTTTAGCTACGTGCTTTTTATGCTACATCAAAGATTAATGGAAATACAAGCAAAATAGCTTCTTCCATCACTTTTGAAGATACATGGGAATAGAATTTCTGTAGATGTACATCGTTTGTTAAGAGAAAAAATTTTGTCCGGATAACGTGCGAAAACTCCCGTAAAAACACGAGCAACTGGCCCACAGGTTGAGGGTCATACATATTGTATTATATTGTCCAAGACCAGGCATACCTTTCCTTTGTCTCAATGAACTTGCAAAGTTTCCAATCGAGTCTCAACATCGCAACGGCTGGTTCACCAACTCGGAAGCCAAAGAGAGTTGAGCCGTATCGGTGAAACATTAAATTCTTTTTTTCTTCCGCCTCATTAGTTTCCTAGCCGGCATGTATGTATACATGTATTACACGCGCGCACTCTTGGTGTATATATATATATATATATTTATTATTTCTCTCTCCATGTTATAGAAATAATAATGATACGCCATAACCATACCAGGTTCGAACCGACGGTAGGTATAATTGCACCAGCGAGGTGTAATGACCTCGTGGTGGCTCATTAAGAAGCGCCTAGCCGCTGCATGTGCTGGTTTCCCTCTTGCGCTGCTGCATGTATAGCGATTCCAAAGCCATGATCTTGGGGACTCTTTCTTTCACTCCGAGAGTATTGATAATCTCCTCAATAGTAGCTTGCATCTATGCGCGTGCAGTTCATGTATACCTTTTTTTTTTTTTTTTAGAGTTTGTTGCTCCTGTGTGTCTAAGAGCAACGTTTACTGAGACATGTTGGGCTCGATTTTTGCGCAATTGATCGAAAGTTACAAATTTTACAGCTACACAGAAAGGAAAAACAATGGAAACGCTTGCTATCCGAGTTTTGAAAATTATACCATCAGTTGGAGGCATATAACTGGCATGTGTCTTTGGTCCGACGATTTCGAAATTTCTGAAGCGCTCACCATTCACCGAGTGTCGCCGATACATTGGCACATCGGTTCTTTATCAATGGAGACCTTATTCATTCACGATAGCTGTTGCTACAAGTATGAAGAAGATCTAGCGAGTAACCAACTGTAACTATAAGAAAAGATAAGAGTGACGCGAAAATACAGTCAAATGTGTGTCTACAGATAAGAAATTGGTCAAACTAATGTTGCTTACAGCGAGATTGGACCGCGAATGCTACGATAAAATTCATTACGTGCTATGAAACGTATTTTTTTCCTAATGAAGGTTCAAAGATTGTGATAAAAGGTAGATTCGTCAAACGCAGATTTTTGTTATTGGAATAAAAGAATGATGTTTGTCGGGTGTGTACGTTGGTTACAAAATTGCGTCAGTTGTGTCATGAGATTCGATGACGATAAGATGTTGATAGCGCGAGAAAAGATAACAACATACCAAATGAGGATTTGGCGAGAACACGCATTGATGACAAATATTTGTAACAAAACTGAAACGGGTGTAGGAATGTCAGGATTGGATTTTTCTACATATACAGTTTCAGTTCAATAAGCGCAATTGACAAAACTCTTTACTTTATACTACCGACTTAGTGTGCCATTGTCTGATGTACATTTATCTGTAGTAATAAGTTATGGGCAAAATTATAATAGAGATTTTTTCCAGTTTTTACTATGATTGAGCCATTGTATGATTTTAAAAGTTTATGGAATTGAATGTTTTTGATATACTAACAATCAATTTTTTAAGCTATAGCATATAACTTTTACATTTCAACACATATTATACGCATACTGTAATACATTTTTTATACATGATATACATCATTATTCAACAGTTCATTAATTGTTTTAAATCACAATGTAAAAGTACCTACATAATTGAAAAAAGTCCTTAGCTGTGGTTTTGTACCCATCAATGTATACATCACAGCAATTTTTTTACGGTGAAATGATTTTTCTCAAAAATTGAAAATAATGTTGCAGAACTGACATTTCAAAGCTCTCCGTTCTTTCATGACTCTTCCATGGAAATGGCACTTATGGCTACTGTTTACATCAACTGTATTACAAAATGGCACTTATGGCCACTTCAACTGTATTACATACCTTGACGTTTAAACTGTGAAATCAAGACTTAGCTCGTAAAGAATAACAACTATTCAGATCTATCTCTATGACGTGTACCAGTTGGGTGCCAATGGCGTACGTATATCATTTAGCGCATGAGCACAATTAAGCTACGCCCTTCGGTGGTACAACCCATACAGACACATAATTATACATGTATGGCGACTCGTAGCTCTGCTCTTGGACACCATATACACGTCGTCGGTAGTGCAGGACAGCTTTTTGGGGGAAAAGTATCGGTAATACCAAGTTGTAGCTAGGATAGGCTCTCTATGAACACGATGCCCATCGGCTTCCCGACCGGACCATAGTTGCGTTGGTCTCTGCAGTGGGTTACTGTACCTACTAAGTACTATAGATCGGAACCATCGGAAACTATTGTGAAAAATTCGAAGGAAAGGAGAGACGGGAATAAAGACACGGCCGTAAAATGCTGCAGCTCCGCGTTTTTTCTGTTCATTCTTCGCCGTTGAGCCGTTGAATGGCGATCAGCAGCGGCATTGCTTTTGGCTATATAGGTGGGTATGCACTTTAAAGAGGAGGAAAACGAGATGTGCGCGTCGGGGGAGTGCGGAGGAAAAAAGAAAAAGAAAACGGGACAGAAGGAAGAAAAAAAAGAGGCGGAGGAGACGGGGCTCGATCGTGTCTCGCTCGACTGAATGGGCCGAACGAAGGAGCGGGCGAGTAGACTGTATTATATTATGCAGAGGAAGACAAGGGAAAAGAGATGAACGAAAGCGTGCGTGTATGTGTAGGTGAGATGGTAACTATATATATAAGCACTATAAACGCACCCCCTCCGCCCTCTCTCTGTTCAAAACCTGCCTACCGGAAGGACGAGTAGCCTGCCTGTGTGTGTATGGGTATGTGTCTGTGATCCAGGTGAATGAGAGAAAGGATGAGACTATATGGTCCAGGCGGGTCCAGGTATGCGCGCAGATGACTCCTCCGATACTGCT